ATGAGAAACTGATAAATGATTGGCGGTTCCATTCTTAGCAACTGCTGATAATTTTTGGGTTCTCTATATTTGCTTATTTCCTTTCAGTGAGGTCATATAATTTGTCCTTTAAGGAGTGACTTATTTAACTCACAGTAATGTTTTCAAGGTTAAATTGTGTGTGGCTTCCATCAGAACTTCATTTCTCTCTATGGCTAAGTAATGCTCCATTTTGTGTACAGATCACATCTGGTTTATGTCAGTTGTTTCTACCTTTTGGCTACTGTGAACAGTGCTGTTATGAATGCTTTTTACGTCTGTTTGTGTTCCATCTTTCTCTTCTTCAGGGTATATGCAGTCATACTTCAGAGATATTGCAGGTTCAGATCCAGACCTCCACAATAAAGTGTCTGTTGCAGTAAAGTTTTTGCAACAGGTTTTTGGTTTCTCAGTAAGTGTAAAATGTATGTTTGTACTCTACTGTACTGTGTAGCCTGTTAAGTGTGCAATAGCACTAATAAAAAGTGTGACATTCTGTGAGAATTGCCAGGGACTTGAAGTGACCGTGTGTCATTGGAAAAAAAATATCACTGGTATAATTGCTCCACGGGGTTGCTATAGACTTTGATTTGTGAAAACTTCCGTCCCTATGAAGATCATTAAAGTGAACTGAACACAATGAGGTGTGCCTGTACAGTACAATTGGGATTTCTGGGTCATATAGTAGTTCTGTAACTTTTTGAGGAACCACCGTATTGTCCTCCACGATGTCGTGGGACTAGTTCTTGGCCCCTTCACATATGTTTCCCAGCATCCAGCACAAACACTAGCCCTTACTAGGCACACAGGAACATTTGCTGAGCTGTTGTATTGTACCCCGAGTTTTTCCTTTTCCAGGCTACTTAGAGTCTCACTAGGCTCAATAACCCACTATTACCCCGATAATAGTTCTGGCACTGTAGTGGGTTATACATTGGGCTGCTAACCACAAGGTCAGAAGTTCGAATCTACCAGTTGCTCCAAGGGAGACAAATGAGGCTTTCTGTTTCCGTACAAATTTACCACCTTGGAAACCCTACACAGGGTTGCTATGAGTCGGAACCGAATCTACAGCACGTAGACACCACTACAAATGGAGTGCTTGTGGGGTACTGGAGAATAAGCTCTGGACTGCTAACCACAAGGTCAGCCATTCAAACCCACCAGCTGCTCCTGGGCAATCCCATACAGGGTCACTATGAGTCAGAACTGACTCTATAGTGCTCAACCACAGCAATGAACAGGAGCCCTGGTGGTGCAGTTGTTAAAGCGCTCAGCTACTAACGGAAAGATCAGCAGTTCAATCCTATCCGTTGCTCCAAGGGAGAAAGATGAAGCAGTCTGCTTCTGTGGAGACTACAGCCTTGGACACGTAGCGGGACAGTTTCCCTTTGTCCTTGGGGGTCACTTTGACTTGGAATGGATTCAGCGGCAGTGGCTTTGACTTGGTTTTGGTTTGATGAAGTAGGGGACTCTCTGTGGTGTGATAATTTGCCTTTGGTTCCTTTCCTGTCCTTACTCAGTCTGTGCTTTTCTTCTCTAAGGAGCGTGAGGTCGATCTTAACTGCGCCAGTGTCATGGCGTCCGAGGCAACGCCGAGTGGCCTTTCAGGACCTGGCTTTGGTTTACTTTGTTGGTTTTTTTGAATTGTGATTTGAGTGAAGATTTACAGAGCAAATGGGTTTTCCATTCAGCAGTTCACACTCGTCTTTTCCCTGACGTGGGTAGCATTATTCTCAGTGCCACCACACCCATCCATTTCTTGACTGTTTTTCCCATGACCACTTTTCCTTCCTGCCTTCTGAGCTTCCTCCCTGGGCAAATCCTGCCCTTTTGGTTTTGATCCTGTCTGATTGATTGCTCTAAGGAGTTTTGTTACTGTTCACCG